GGGGGGGGGGGGGGGTAACCAGTAACTAAGAACACTGTCTATCCAACACTCTCAAGAGTAAGTTTTCCCCAAAAGTTCATACCAATATTTGTCAACACTGACAACCAAGACCTATACAGCACAAGAAATACACATGTTGTAATATTTTGTAATTATCCAAGCTGAATTTTAAAAAGTACATTGCTACCATACATACTTCTCTAATAAAAACACTTTGGTACTCACTCAATTAATTCTCCATTTTTCTCTCACCATACAGGATCATTAGGGAAGGAACACCTTGGCCACTTCAAGATGACAAGCACACACTGGACTACACTGCTTCATTGACAGGAAGCCTCCTATTCTACCAGCGCCCCCACCACGCCAAAAAGAATTTTAAGGTAACTGAAAAAATTCTCTAGTATTATACACAAGGTTATTAATTTCACACAAATTATGAGTAATTCCTCTTCTCCAGAAAAAGAAGAATTATGGCACATAATTGGAAGGGTGGTCCATATGTAAGAGAGATATGGGTCGAGGTGTATAGGTACACAATAGAGGAGTAATGAACCTCAGGCCAATTAAGCATGTTTTTATTAAGGTGCATGTTTCTGGAGTGAGCATTGCTTTGTATGGCCTGTATCGAATAAATTCCGCACAAAGAGAGAGCCCAAAGGTTAAATGTAATTCTCTGCACTTTGAAAATACTTAAAGTACCACAATCCTCAGACCCTACATTGCACTAAGGAACAAGGGCACTCACTTTAAATTAGAATGAATTTGTGGCACTTGACATTCTAGCTATGCAGAAAAATGGAGAAAAAGCAATTCATGTGCTATTATTACACATTAATAGCTATCTTTTGGTCTCATAAATCCCATTCCTCCATGTTCTTTAATTATGTTACCAAAGACCCAAGTGAGGATATAAAACTAAAACATATCATTCCATTTCATGGTCCTTTACCTGGATTTGTGAGCCAAGGAAGAGCCTGACCTACGAGAAGCTGAAGACATACTCTTAAGCGTCCCTTTTTGAAAAGTTCTACCACATATAGAAATCTTTCTTCAACGTAGTCTCAAGAATTTAGGGAGCAGTGCTTACGTTCTTGAAGCTTTCAGTACAGAAATTCGAGATAAAACTCAAAAGTAACTCCAGCCAGGCGCAAGGCTGGCTGCACCTCCACAAACTGGCTCACTAGAGCACCCACTTCTTGGCTAATCACCATCCTTTCCCCCTTGTTCTTCCTTTGCATATCTCTCATCTTTAACAGGCTGCAACAAGCTGCTTAGAAATAGTGAACCTTCCAAGAGCCTGGGACAGGAAAGGAAGAGTAGGTGGGCTACACCAAGACATTCTTTGTTTTCTTTTTGATTCACTTAGTTCTTACTTTTGCATCATTGTATAAAATCAGCATCTATATATGACTATTTCCTCCATTTATGAAATGATTTGAAGTTTCGGTAGGTCCCATCATCAACACACTAAATCATCTCTACACTAAAGAGAAGGAGAGGAGATTGGACAGATGTTAAAAGGTCAAATTGATACAGGTCCCTGTTATGATCTTGTCCTGTTTTCATCCAACACATATTCCTATGTTTTGGGCTCAGCATGTAATTGTCCTCACTTCCTGTAGATGCCTCAGATAGTTCTATTTTCACACATCTTTCAATCTATCACTGTACAGAAGCCTGGCTGAGACCAAAAACAGTAAAACATTCAGCTGGAGAACACAATGCCCTAAGAAAAACACTATTGCTAAAGAAAAATATTTAAGAGCTTAGATTATCTTGGGTTTACTTTCGGCTCATTACTCATGTGGAGTGTCCCTTTGTCTCTACTGTGTCTAACTAGTAACAATGCAGGCAACAGTGATAGTGTTTTTCCCCAACCATCACATGTCAAATCTTTCCATCCTAAAACAAAGACTCTTACCTGTGATTCCTTCAAAACAGGCCAGAATAGGAAGAAGGTGTCTGCAGGGAAAGACCCAAGCAAGTCTTAAGTATTCACTCCCTTTCAGAAGGCTTCCTTGCTCTAGAAGTCTATCTGGGTCAGTCATACTCTTCCATCAACCTCGAAGTGACGAGGGGTGCAGGGAGACAATGATGTACAACACAAGGGCATAATATGCTCAGATTCTCAACACATTCAGGATTCTAAGAACACAGTTCTGGACCCATGGCATCAGGCTATCAGGAGACAAGACAAACTATTTAGTAGACAAACTCCTTGCCACAGTGGACATTTAAAAATAGAAAATGTGGCCCCTTTGCTTACCATCTAAAATTCAAAACAGGCTACAGAAGACTGACGGGAAGCATAGGACTACAAACTATTATGATCAGAGCCAAGGGTGGCATGCATGAAGTAAGAGCACACAGAAGCAAGGTGTTCTTGTGTGAGAAGTAGTACACAAAGTTTGCATATACGACTGTTTTATTTGGAATGTGACTGAATTTCATATTCCACATTTCCAAATTTGACTTTCTCATACTTCCTTAATTTTACTGACAACACTCTTTACTCGCTGTGTTTGAAACACTGTACTTGGCTCCAGGAATACAAAGATGAACAAGATACATCCTCTGATCTCAAGGGACCCATCATCCTCCACAATCATTCTTTCCCACGATCCCTGACTACCTGTACATTTCTTAAGAGTAGGGATTCATGTCTTCAATTCCCAGATTGCATGTTCTTTTATTTCACAAGTATTTTAACTATCTAATGCCCTAAATATAATGCTAGGAACACAATGGTAAAAAAAATAATACGATCTCCCTATGAAGGGGCTTACCATAACAGAAGAAAGAAACAGATGGAGAAATCAGTGTTGAGATGGGAGAAAGGCACAGAGCTAGGAGCACACATACAAAAGGAGTATAACCCACTCTGACCAAAGCACAGGAAGACAACGTTTTCTAAAGAAAGTGACATCCAAGCCTAGCTGCAGGGATGAAGAGAAGTTAACATGCCAAGAAGGTAGCAAAAAGGTTTTCCACAGAAATGAAAGGTTGTGCAAAGGGAAGGTCAAAGAAATCATGGAACTCACGGCTGAGAGTGGAGGAAGCCGAGGTGAGACCAAGAAGGGACTTCAGTCGGTCAGCATTAAAGAGTTAGGACTTTATCCTGAGGCAAAAGAATGACCACAGAACAGTTTCCAGCAGGATGTTGATACATATGTAGAATGGACTCGGCATTTTTTTTTTTTTTTTTTTTGGAATTTTTGATCGCACAAAAATTTGGAGTTCAAGCCCCATGTTGGGTTCCATGCAGGGTGTGTAAGGAGGGGAGGAGAGGGGAGGGGAGGGGAGGGGAGGGGAGGAGAGGAAGTAAAGGAAAAAAATGAAACATTCTCTGTCTTTACAGTTTTGTTACTTTAATTTTTTTAATGTTTATTTACTTTTAAGAGAGAAGGAGAGGGAGAGAGACAGAGACAGAATGCAAGTGGGGGAGGAGCAATGAGAGAGGGAGGCACAGAATCCAAAGCAGGCTCCAGGCTCTGAGCCATCAGCACAGAGCCCGATGCGGGCCTCAAAAAGATCATGACCTGGGCCAAAGCTGGATGCTTATCCTACTCAACCGTCCAGGCGCCTCAGTTTTGTTATTTTTCGAGCCTTTATTTAAATGAGTACTTTCTCGAACTTTGGAGTTTTAAAAGGAACTTTTACCATTTTGGGGGAACGTTGATCCCATTACCTACAGTTCTCAGACTGTCCTGCTTCTCCCATTTTTCTCTCCTGTCATCTGTATACTCTAGTCTGCCCTTCCTAAAAGGAAAGTAGAGAAGAAGGGAAGGAGGGAACGAGGAAGGCGTGTCTGATGCAGAGCTAACACTTAATTTCAAGAACACAACAGGTTTGACTATATCCACTGGCCTTTATTATTTGGCAAATTATTTATTAGATGCTGTAAGTCCCTTCTGAGTGACTACTTCACATTGCTTTCCAGGCCTCCCCTGCAGAAGTTACAGAATGATAAATTCCACCACCACACAACCTCCGAACGAGGCCTGCTCCCGGAACACCCTCATAACTCAGAGTATCATTCCCGTGCTATACTTGGCGGTCTTTGTTGCGGGGATCCTGCTCAATGGTGTCTCTGCATGGATATTCTTTTACGTGTCCAGCTCCAAGAGTTTCATCGTCTATCTCAAGAACATTGTTGTGGCTGACTTTCTGATGAGCCTGACTTTTCCCTTCAAGATTCTTGGGGATTCGGGCCTGGGACCCTGGCAGATAAACGTGTTCGTGTGCAGGGTCTCAGCTGTACTGTTCTACGTCAACATGTACGTCAGCATCGTGTTCTTTGGGCTCATCAGCTTTGACAGGTATTATAAAATTGTAAAGCCTCTTTTGACTTCTTTCATCCATTCAGTAAATTACAGCAAACTTCTGTCAGTCACGGTGTGGGTGCTCATGCTCCTCCTGGCTGTCCCCAACATTATCCTGACCAACCAGAAAGCGAGGTACGGGAAGGCTACGCATATAAAATGTGTAGAGCTTAAAAACGAACTGGGACTTAAGTGGCACAAGGCATCAAACTACATCTTTGTGGGCATCTTCTGGATTGTGTTTCTTTTGTTGGTCATTTTCTATACTGCTATCACGAGGAAAATCTTTAAGTCCCACCTGAAATCCAGAAGGAATTCCATTTCGGTCAAGAAGAAATCTAGCCGCAATATATTCAGCATCATGTTCGTATTTTTTGTCTGTTTTGTGCCTTACCACATTGCCAGAATCCCCTACACGCAGAGCCAGACAGAAGCTCATTACAGCTGCCGGTCAAAAGAAATTTTGCTCTACGTAAAAGAATTCACTCTAGTACTGTCAGCTGCCAATGTATGCCTAGACCCTATTATTTATTTCTTTCTATGCCAGCCGTTTAGAGAAATCTTATGTAAGAAACTGCACATCCCATTAAAAGCTCAGTCTGACTCAGAAACTTCTAAAACCAAAAGAGGAAATACAATGCATGAAAGCACAGACACTCTGTGAATTCCCACCTCCTTTCAAAAAGAATCCATGTACACATTTTGCAATCTTCAGTTACATACGAATACAAAAGAAACATGTCCATGCAACTAAGTATCATCTCTATGCATTACTATTCAATTTAGTATAATAATAAAAACAAAATATAAGTTCCCCTGCTTTTGTAACAGCAAAGAAAAAAGTAATACATGCATTGTTCAATTTTATTCCATCAAAACACAAGTTTTCAATGTATAATCACTCGTCTCGTCAGTTCATGTAGAAGTTTAAATACCATAAAGAAAATAGGAAGCAATCAAGACAATTCACTGGGGCGTGTTCCTTCTCTAAATACAAGAATTTAACTTATGTGGTTTTTTTTCACCAGGGTTACTAAAGACCAACCTAAAAGCAGGCAGAGTTTGATAAAGAACTGGAGACCTGTTTGGAGTGAAAAACTCAAATTTTCTCTGATTTCACTTACGAAATTCCCTACTGATTTATCTCCTAGCATTTCAAAGGGAAGTTGATATAAATTCTGTTCTTTGCAGGAAAAACAAAATGTAACACTTTGATAACATTTTGAAGATGATAATAAGATACATTCTGAATGTTTTGTATCAAGACTTAATAAGTTACGTCTTGAGCATGCACTTCTGGTGTTAAAATATTTTTAAGTGGACTCTATTGAAGGAAACTGGCTATTGGTATATGTTGCCAGCAACTTTCCCTATCGAATGCTATGGAGGAAAAAAAAAATGATGCCCAGGACAAACACACAAACACACACACACACATACATCGAGGGACAGGGGAAACAGTTTTCTTTGAAAGCAACTGGACTTGAAAAAAAGGAAAATCTAAAATTTGTAATTTTGAGTGAGAAATTACACATAAAATGAAAATTTGTGACATTTTCTGAAAAGGAGATGGATTTAAAGTATGTAGATAAGGGATATGGTCGCTGGCTTGTGAGTTACCAAAACTAAATTCTTTCTCTGGTCTTAACTGCCTAGAAGACATCCAGGCCATCTTCCAAATGTTATTCTCAAACATTTTTGTAAGCCATGTATATATACTTTTTTGCTTTACTGTATATGTACTAATAAAAATATTTTCAATAGTATCAGGATTTTTTCCTTAAAACCTAAGGTATGAAAAACAATGCCAAATTATTTCACAGTCAAGACATGGGTGGTTTCTTTAATATGCTCAATTACACATGAAGAAAGGAAGACAGGGGCACCTGGGCAGCTCAGTCGGTTAAGCGTCTGACTTTGGCTCAGGTCATGATCTCACAGTTCATAAGTTCAAGCCCCGCGTCAGGCTCTGTGATGACAGCTCGGAGCCTGGAGCCTGCTTCAGATCTGTGTATCTGTCTCGGTCTCTCTCTCTCTCTCTTCCCCTCCCCCACTTGCACTCTGTCTCTCTCTCTCTCAAAAATAAACAAGTATTAAAAAAATAAAAGTTAAAAAAAAAAACTACAAAGACAGTTACATAGAGAATTAAAACTTTTATTTGCCACTTTTTCAAAATTAGTATTTCATATGCTCTGGGACCTCCTCAGATTTTAGGAAAAACTCAGAAAGTACCTCTTAAATTCTTCAAGAACTAGGAAGGTTTTCACTCTCTGTGTCCACCTTCCACCCTCATAAAAACTCCCTGCTCCTAACTCTGGGGCAAATATCCTCTAAAGAGAACAAAATCACCAACCTATGATAAACATGCTTGGAAAAGTTAAACCCGCTATATATGTTTGGCTAACTACATCTGCAAAGAAACTGGCTGTGTTTATTCTTCACAATTTCCAAAAGCCGGGACAAACTAGTAAACACTGGTGGTTTTACCATGCCCCCCACTGGGCCACCGGAGAAAATGAAAGCAAAGAAGAAACTGAGTAGCACCAAGTAATTACTGCCTTTGTAACCACTGTGCTAAAGTAGATGGGCAATGTGGAAATCGAGCTTTTTCAGGAAACAATGTGCAAGCCAGGTAAGGATACAGTAAAGCAACCATTGATTTAACAGTTACTGTTTATCAGGTCGAGAATTACAATAAAAAACATGGTAGAGCAAGGTCAACAGTGGATGAACACAGACACTTCCCTGAGATTACCAGTATGATTTTTTTTTTTTTAATTATGCTATGGAACAATTTGTTTCTTTTCTGTAGCTAGCTTATGATAGTGTTTAAGATACATATTCATCACAGAGAAGGTAAAAACAACATTTAGCCATATTGTAGAAGCAGTGCTCTGAAACGGTTACAGTATTTTAAAAAGCGGCCTTATGGGAAAGGAAAGCCACACTTTGTTAACGTGGTTCTTTTGCGGGGATGTCCTGTCAGGAAATGGTGATGCTCGTGTCACTAGCATCTTGCAGAGAATTGATGAGCAAAAGGTAGTAAGAGCTGTGACCGCTGAAGGCGGTGCTGCACCAGTTCTCTCCCCACCCCCACCCACACACCTCACAGTGTGGTTTACCCAAAAGGAAATCTCATGTCACTCTAGGGAGATGATCTGCTATGAATGATAGTATCTTTGGTATTTTCTGTATTAACAAAAATCCTTTTTTCTTCTTCTTCTTGTCCAGAGTCAAAGGAGACAGGTAGCAGCACGAGGAATAAGGACAGAATGGAGAACTAATGGCACACACTTTCCTGTCATCCTCAAGCAGAAACAGAAATTAGCCTAAGGGTGTTTTCTAAAATTTCTGAGTTAATCTTCTAGGTGAAGCCGACTCAGAATTTTTTCATTTGCAGGTGACATAAAAATACAACTAAAATTGGACTTCTGCAATAAAAAGAGATTCACTGGCTGACAGACTAAATGTCCCAAAGTTGTGGGTATGGTTTTATTTAAGGGCTGATGTGGGGCCTCTGCTGATGTCACCAAGGCTGGGTTTATACCATTCTTCCAGCCACTTTCCATGGTGTTAGTCTCAACTCATAGGAAGCTGTGGGCTCTTCTGTGTGTGTGTGGTAGTAAAATAAAAGAAGTACTGCTAGACTATCTCTTCAGAGCCAGTCCTCCAGAGAATTTCCACAAACATCTAGTACTTGCTCTCAGGGGGTCATACGGGCTCATGTTCCACCCCAACCTGGAGACAGTGGGGTCAGACAAACAGCTGGTTATCAGTCATGGTCTGAGCCTCCCATCAGGGGCAGAGCGGGCACTGTGATAGCACATGAGGAAGAACTGGAGAAAGTGACTTTCTCAAAGGAAAAACCTCACTTTCACCGCAAGGAAAACAGAGTCTGGAGGCTGAGGAGATAACTAACAGGCAAGCACCACTGGGGGCAGGCAGACTTTTGTAAACAAGCATTCCAGGACACATGCATCTCAGTGAGCACCTTTCATGGGTCATCTTAGGTGCTCGTGCTCTCTTTGTTTCTTGGTTCTTATCACGAAGGTTTCTTTTATGTTTAAAAAAATACTTCATGCAGCTGTGTCAATTATGTATCACAACGGAACCGCAGTTTGGTTAAAATGTGAGAAATCCTCTTGGTGCGAGATTTTTAGTCCAAGAGCCACTTTTGAACACCTTTCTATTAGATTTCAGCAGTAGCATATGTGATCCACAGGTGTGTTTTCTTTTTAATTGCTCCCCTAACAATGAAAACTTTTGTGACTTTGTATCTCTTCAAAACACGGGGAAACAATCCCCGGGAGCTAAGAGCCTGTTACAAGCCTTTCTTAGGGACACACAAGCTCTCAGCTCTCAACTCACTATCATCCACAGCTTTCTCCAAGTTCTACTTTTTCTGAAAACCGAGTGTATGTTGCCTTCTCTTTCACCACAGGCACCTGAGTTTACAAGCTGCCCTGGGTCCCCTAAGCACTTGAGGCCTTGCTCTACAGAAAGACCTGGAAAATGTTCCCCATTGCCCAGGTGCACTCCAAAGAAGTTTCAGAGTTGACAGGAAATATAGGAAGCCACACCACTTGTATCTCCCACCTCCAGTAGAAACTGGGGTGTAAGCGTGAAAAGCAGTATTACAGAAATAGGCCCGTCTCAACAACAATGAAATATATGAAAAGTATTTTCATTGACAAAGTTCATGAGACTACTTGCTACCTCTTGAAGGTGCTCCTGGTCTAAGTCTGACTTCTCTCAGGGTCGAAATGAAGATCTCCTCATGACCCATCCTAACCCACTTCCCAAACATTACCCCCCTGCTTGGGGGACCCGAAACGCGAGACTCCGGACCCAGGGCCATCTTGTTCTACCTCCACCTCCAGATGTCACCAGCTCTAACCCACGTATCAGGGGAAGCACAGAATTATACACCTTCCTCCTTCTCTCCCAGATCCCAGGTCACTGGAGAACTGCTAAACCTCCACCCAAAGCGCCTGGTAAAGTCCTAAGGGCTTACTGTCCCAATATTCCATCTTCTGACATAAAAGGATATCAAAACATGGCTCTCATCATCCCCAGACAACACTCCACACTATTTAACATAATTTGACAATCCCTTTTCTAAACTAAAAGCTTCTCTACATTTAACTAGTAGCTTTTTTCAAGCTATTAATTATTTACATTCTACTTTTTTTAACATTTATTTTTGACACACACACACACACACAGAGAGAGAGAGAGAGAGAGAGAGAGAGAGAGAGAGAACCGGCATAAGTGAGGGAGGGGCAGAGAGAGAGAAGAGACAGAGGATCCAAAGCAGGCTCTGTGCCGACAGCAGTGAGCCTGATGTGGGATTCAAACTCAAGACCTGAGATGAAGCTGGACGCTTAACCAACTGACCCACCCATGTGCCTCTACATTCTACTTTTTACACCACAGCTTTCTGAAGGACTACTAACTCTCTGACATTTACTAATTAAAATGAGAAGTTAATCTTCATTGTGTTTTGAATGAAAGGCCAATTTCAACTCCGTATTAAATTCACCTTCTAGTTTAAAAACCAATCCCACTATTAATAAAAAAACAAAAGACAGAAAACTTGCAATGCCATGGCCAAATGTATCTTATCTGGTTGATACTATGAAAGTAATTAGATGAATAAAATAGAAAATGCTATTTTTTAATAGGAAAACCAGGACTTCCACCAACATTATTCAAAATAAGGGCTCCTTAAGTGTTGATAAAATTACATTCAGAATGCCCTGGTTACTGCACAGCAAAAGAAACCATCAACAAAACCAATGGCAATCTACTGAGTGTAAGAAAATATTTGCAAACAATATATCCAAAAAGGGATTTGTATCCAAAATAAAGAAATTTATAAAATCCAACACCAGAAAACACGACTAAAAAATGGACTGAATACCCATTTTTCCAAAGAAGATGTACGATGGCCAACAGACATGTGAAAAAGATGCTCAACACCACTGCTCATTAAAAGAATGAAATCAAAAGAACAATGAAGGGGGGCGGAGGAGGGACACTTGGGTGGCTCAGTCAGTTATGTGTCTGGCTTCAGTTCAGGTCATGATCTCACAGTTCATGAGTTCGAGCCCTGCGTCGGGCTTTGTGTTGACAGCTCGGAGCCTGGAGCCTGCTTTGGATTCTGTGACTCTCTCTCTCTGTGCCCCTCCCCTGCTCATGCTCTGTCTACGTCTCTCAAAAGATAAAATATTTTTTTTAATTAAAAAAAAAAAAAGAACAATGAAGGGACACCTTGTTGGCATAGTCGGTTAAGCATTCAACTCCTGATTTCAGTTCAGGTAATGATCTCAGAGTTGTGGGAATGAGCCACCACATTGGGTTCCATGTTGACAGTGCAGAGCCTGCTTGGGATTCTCTCCCTCCTCCTCTCTCTGCTCCTCTCCTGCTTGCACTCTCTCTCTCAAAATAAACTTTTTTTAAAAAGAGAAGAAAATGACAAGTGTTGGCAAAGATGTGGCGAAAAAGGAATCCTCGTGCACTGTTGGTGGGAACGTAAATTGGTGCTGCCACTGTGAAAACAGTACAAGTTTCCTTTAAAAAACTAGAAACAGAAATGCCGTATGATCCAGTAATACCACTACTGAGAACTTACACAAAGAAAATGAAAATTTGAAAAGGCATATACACCCTATATTTATTGCAGCATCATTTACGTTAGCCAATATATGAAAGCAACCAAAGCATACATCCACAGATAAATGGATAAAGATGACATGGCGTA